CCTTTTTTCTATTTCAAAGTTGCAATTGCCCAAAAAGGGAACAAGGGGGGGGGCGGGGGGCGTGTTCATGTCATTTGCGACGCCCCCGAGGAACACGCCACCGACAGCAGTGACGGTTTCGTATCATTGGTTGATTTGGGCAAGATGGAGACAGGGGGGAGGGGGGGGGGGCGTACTCTAATGCTTTGCATGCCATATAGCGGTTAGACCATTGACCACGCGTCCTCGAGAGGACGGAGCATTGTTCCCACAAGACCGAAAACCGATGGCCAATCGTTCTTTCGTACGTTGCCAAACGTGGCTCAAAAATACCTTCCCTAGTCTATCTATCCTACCGATATCACTTTCCGCCTTTTCAACCCGCTTCCTGTGCCCCAGTACAGCTAACGTCTTATCCTGTCTGTTCCATGCCTCAAACATCTCCCTGTGTTTTCCTTCTACTTTTCCCAGCTCAGTCATGCACACTTCCCTCTCCTTCTTGTACATCTCCGCGGCCCAGTATCGATCGACTGCATACGAAGCAGGGTGGTCGAGAGGTGTCGCCAGCACGCCCGGCACTTTTTTAGAACCCGAGGAGGTCGCCTGCAGCGGACGCAAAAAGCGCCGGTTCTGGTCGGATCCGCTGATTCCACAGGAGACGCTCCATCCCACCCGAGCGCCAGCGGGTGGTACCGACGATGCCGCCGGCACGAGCACCGGCACCGGTGAACTCAGCGACTACGCACCTACCGGCTTGGCCTGCGCGGAGTACTGCTGTACCGTGGGAAAAGAAGGGGCCACGGCATGGAACGCCGGCGCCAGCGACATGAGCTGCATTCCCCCCGCCATCACATGGCCCCAATTGGGCTGCTTGGTTAGCCCTGCCTGCAGACGCGCTTCCTTAAATTTATTACGAGCTCACGGCGCTACTGCTAGCGATGATAGACCACAGCGAGATCATGAAGGACCCGGTGGTAGTGGGCATGGCTTTGCACCAGAAGTTGGCCTCTTCATCAGAGAAAAGCGGCAAGGAAAACTATGAGGCACTTCGCAAGAAATTCAAGGAAGCGCGTCTGCAGGCAGGGCTAACCAAGCAGCCCAATTGGGGCGGTGTGATGGCGGGGGGAATGCAGCCCAGCGCCGGCGTTCCATGCCGTGGCCCCTTCTTTCCTACTTCCTACGGTACAGCAGTACTCCGCGCAGGCCAAGCCGGTAGGTGCGTAGTCGCTGAGTTCACCGGTGCCGGTGCTTGTGCCAGCGGCATCGTCGGTACCGCCCGCTGGCGCTCGGGTGGGATGGAGCGTCTCCTGTGGAATCAGCGGATCCGACCAGAACCGGTGCGACGCTGTCGGCTCTTCAGCGACGTCCTCGGGTGTGTGAAGTTCCGAGCCTGCTGACTGGCGACACCTCTCGTCCACCCTGCTTCGTACGCAAGAAGATCGTCGACCGATACACTGGGCCGCGGCGAGATTGACGAGCTCCCCCAAAACACATCACTGCCATATGATGGGGTCCATCGTATGGTAAGCTTGGCTGGGGTTGGCAACCTGTCTCAAATCAGCCTCTGCCGGTGCTGTTGTGTTATCCCCCACGTCTGTCCCTGAGTTGTTTGCAGCAGCGTTGTCCATGCGGAATCATGACGTGCTTTCCTTTCCCCGCAAAATATCACAGCAAGCCCCCGCCTCGCCGGCTCAGCCGATGTCGACATCAACGCGCGTCTGTGTCCCAAAAACAACAGTCTGATTGTTGTTGTTGTCTTCACATAAAAAAACGGTTTCCGATCTCTCTATTGTACCCAGTACCTTCATCTGTCCCTATTGATCACAACCACTTGACGGAACACTTGTCCGATTGCTTGACTTACAAGTCAAAGCTGTGTACCCACGCGTTCCGTTCAGTTCAACCCCACCGGGCCCAAAGAGGCACGCAACCGCATGTACCTCATGGGGGGGAGAACCAGCGCGTTCCGGATTATCACCAGAAAGCTAAAAAATGACCGCCAACAGGAACAAGCGACGGATAGATCGTTGCCAAAAAGAGCAAAAAATCGGGTAGCCCCGAGACACGACGACACCCGTGTCGAAGAGACGAACGCGGGTGGGATATGTTGCCTAACAGGCAAGCAGCCCCACGCACGAACACCGTCCTCCTCTCCCCTTTTCTCCCGCGCCGCGCTCTCCCTAGAGACCGACCCCAGCTCCCCTCCTTGCGAAGTGACAAATGGTCTCTTCTGACGCGAGGCAACACCATAACCGCCACCGCCACCACCAACAGTGAGTGCCTCAGAAGACACTGAATTCACCTTCGCCATGCCGAACTCTTCACAGCAACAACACCGCCAACAACTACATACAACACCAAAACCAAAAACGCCCCCAATTTTCACCTTACTCACACCGAACTCGGCACAACATCATCAACAACAACAACAACAACAACAACAACAACAACAACAACAACGCCCCAAACTTTCACCTTAGCCATGCTGAACTCCGCCGGCAGGTTCCCGGCGTCCAGCGGCACCCCGGCGTCCTCCAGCTCCGCTATCGCGTCCGCCCTCTTGTACTTCCACGGGTTCTCGGCGGGGGGGAACGGCCGCCGCGGCAGCATCACCAGGGCCCGCCGGGCGTACGGGAGGAAGGGGTACTCCGCCGACAGACGGCGGCTGCGGGAGACGGCGAGGACGGAGGCGAGGCCCAGGGCTCGGAAGAGGTCGCCGAAGGCCCCCCTGGCCACGCTGAGGACGAGGCCCACGAGGAGGCCCACCAGGGACATCACGGGGGTACGCTGAATCGTCGACTGTTTCCGGGGGGGGGGGGGGGGGGGTGTAAAAAA